ACAGAACACTACATATAAGAGTTTGAACGCATTATACATATACTCGTGGTACACATTTTAGTGGGAGGATGCTTTGTGAGGCCGCTACCGTACCTATTTCTGTTTTGATTTAAAGTGGACAACTCTTCAAAGTCAGTGACGACGTTTATAATGTTATATCTATGAACTCTGGCATTACCTTCAGAAATGAAGGACACGATCAAGAAGAAAGAGCTCCAGTATCCACTTAACACCAGATAAGTCGAGGTTTACAAAGTCGTCGTGGCCTAAAGGATAAGACGTCCGGTGCATTCGTATGAAGCGATGCACCAGTTTTCTAATCCCGCAGGAGGATACCAATTTCTGTAACGAAATGCTTACTTAACAGATGTTCTCGATTGACCTCCACGGTGAAGGAATAACATCGTGTAATAAAAATCAAACCCGCAAAATTATAATTTGCGTAATTACTGTTATGTGATTCAAACAACTAATTTTGGTCGTAACGTCCAATCAAATGTATTTGTTGTCAAAATAAGTTCTACTACGGGTCTCAGACATGAATCTTAAGGAGAATTAGCGAATCAAACTGTTTAAATGTTTTAGTTTAATTTATCATTTCATACGTCCCCTTCGGCAAACTATTTAGCCTTTCGCAATAGAACACACGTGCAAATAATTCTTAAGAGCATTAAAATTGAAAACCAGTCTACAGTCTTAAGGAGAATTTGCGAAACAAACCGTTTAAATATTTTAGTTTAATTTATCATTTAATGCGTCCGGTTCGGCAAACTATTTAGCTTTTCGTAATAGAACATACTTGCAAATAATTCCTAACAGCATTAGAATTGAAAATCCGTCTACGGTCTTAAGGAGAATTAGCGAATCAAACTAATTAAATGATTAAGTTTAATTTATCATTTAATGCGTCTGGTTCGGCAAACTATTTAGCTTTTCGTAATAGAACATACTTGCAAATAATTCCTAACAGCATTAGAATTGAAAACCCGTCTACGGTTTTAAGGAGAATTAGCCAATCAAACTAATTAAATGATTTAGTTTAATTTATCATTTAATGCGTCCGGTTCAGCAACCTTTTTTTATTTTCCTATCTAAGCTGATAGCCTTGAGAGGCTATTTCAGCGTAGCCCTAACTAGTAGGTGAGCTCACGGGGCTCAAACCTGACAACGTTGCTAACACGAACCCTAGCAAGAGTCGTGCTTCGCAGAATCTACCACCGAATCGGAAACACAGCCCACTGAGAAGATCCGGCGAGAAACAGTGGGCTGTGTCTGTGGGTTAATTCACTATAGAACTATTACCGAGAGCAACCTATTACGCATTTCACGATAGAACATACGTAAAAATAATTCCTAACAACATTAGAATTAAAAACCCCGTGGTATTCCCGAATATACGGTAAAAGCAGAAATCTTGGCAGCATAAAGACATCAACAACACAACGACCGCGCAATTTGTATTCTGCGCCGACCTCACCGCCGCCGTGAGGTGGGCACGGGCCCTTGTCATTTACCGCGTGTCGTGCCGGGTCGGGACCTAATGAAATGCGGTCTCCTCTGCTAATGGTGGTGGATTTCGGACTGAATTGGAATGTTTTGATGAGAGCTCTATACAATATATATTATGTACTACAGTGTAAACAGTTGAATATAACAGTATCCTTATATTGAAAAATCGCCTTGAATTGAAAAGTCGCCTAGTGGTCGAAATCCGACCATAATTATTATTTTAAATTATAAGTTTGAACATATTATTATGGTTCTATTATTAGGTACATTTCTATTATAATCATTGTTCTACAATCACCGATTTCGCCAAGGCTACACTATATACAAATAATATTAAAGACAAACAATTTTAATCTATTTTCAATTAGACCATAGACTGTAACAATAAACAAAAGACCATATATGCGCATGTGTGTGTGTGTCAAATACATGGTAGCGTGTGTAATATTTTTTATGTATTTTTATGAGTAATTTTAAAAAAAATATTAGCCTTTTACATTCATTTTCTATATGGTCTATAAGTGTGGGAAATTTTATACTCCTCCGTCCTATTAACCAGCAGTCCCTCGATCTTACTCGATATGATGTTCATCATTCATGTTTTTTTTTTATAGCTTTGATGTGTGGACGAGCTCACAGCCCACCTGGTGTTAAGTGGTTACTGGAGCCCATAGACATCTACAACGTAAATGCGCCACCCACCTCGAGATATAAGTTCTAAGATCTCAATATAGTTACAACGGCTACGCCACCCTTCGAACCGAAACGCATTGCTGCTTCACGGCGGAAATAGGCGGGGTGGTGGTACCTACCCGTGCGGACTCACAAGAGGTCCTACCACCAGTGATTACGCAAATTATAATTTTGCGGGTTGATTTTTATTACACGATGTTATTCCTTCACCGTGGAAGTCAATCGTGAACATTTGTTGAGTACGTATTTTATTAGAAAAATTGGTACCCGCCTGCGGGATTCGCATACCGGTGCATCGCAACATACGAACGCACTGGACGTCTTATCCTTTAGGCCACAACGACTTCAAAATCCCATTGCCTTGAAACTAAATACAAGTGCACAGAGTTGAATGTTCCTGTCTCTCCCAGTTTATGTCTTAGATGGGACTCCAACGGCCAGGCAAGAGTGCTTGGAACTTGTTTGTCAGTTAACTTAGACCCAATATCGTAGGAGATTTGGACCCTGTTCCAAAAAAAAACGTATCTAGCGTGGTATCCACCTATGATAAACTGTAGTGGCTCGTAAGCAGTTTCGACAAATGAGTGTCGTTCATTTTGCGAACACATTAAACGAGAATCAACAGGATTCACACAATACGTAAGCGACAGTAAAACTTGCCACAGAGCTGTGTAATCTGTGTAATCTGGATCAAACGATGCAGAAAAATCTGGTGACTCAAATAGGACATTTGACTCTTACTATGGATGCTCATTCCTTACTTTTGGGCGTCGATTCAAATTGCCAGCCATAGCGAAACACATTCAAGCTTATTTTTTTATTGCTTAGATGGGTGGACGAGATCACGGCCCACTTGATGTTAAGTGGTTACTGGAGCCCATAGACATCTACAATGTAAATGCGCCACCCACCTTAAGACATAAGTTTTAAGGTCTCAAGCATAGTTACAACGGCTGCCCCACCCTTCAAACCGAAATGTATTACTGCTTCACGGCAGAAATAAGCAGGAAGGTGGTACCTACCCGCGCGGACTCACAAGAGGTCCTACCACCAATATTTACATAAAATTTAAAAGTATAGTTGTTAGATTGGTCCGATTCCAAAATATAAATTTCTGCTCCAATTAGAACTGTGAAGTGGATCATAAAGGTGACATATTAGTAATTTCAATTTTGCTTTCAAACTTTCTAGAATTAAAAAAAAAAATTTTGGAATTAACTAATATGTATACAGAATCATATGTATCGCTTTTATGTAAAAAAAAGTTGTATTCAGGCAAATGAAATTCTTCGAAAGCACAAAAACTTCAAATAGATGAAAAATTATGAATCTTTTTCTAATCCGCCCAATTTTTTTTTTTTCGTTTGGAATTCAATGAACCGTATAATCAGGGCAATATTTACGCTCAGATGATCCAGCCTCGCAATTCATTTCGGTCTTCAAAAGTAATAACTTTGTTTGATCAATTTTTCATTCCGAATTATATGATTTGTTTTTTACATATTATATTAACTAAATCGATATATTTGAACAACGTTAGTATGAAATTGGTCAATTTATGATATGAACTTCGATAAGGCAAACTTACAAATTTCATTTCTGACATTAGCGATGGCAGCTATGCTGATCTTTTAAGATTTTTTTCTCATAGTGTCGTTTCCTATCGGGGGCTGCCAACCGTGAAGGATGTTTTCCTCTTAGGGGCTGTCGCACTATTGGCGTAAATTTTTGATTTTGAGTATACAAGAGGAGCTTATATTTCAGACCGGCTCAATATTCCCAAAATAAAGATGATTACGCCTTTTGATTTCTTGGTAACGTTATAATCCAAACTAGCTTTATCCATGACATCTTAAGATCTCAACTATAAATCAACATTTCAAACCAGATGTACGTGTAACATAATTTCGTGTATATTAGATTGCATGTACACATATATATTATGTATTGGGGAAACTTTTTTGCCAAAATCTGAGTTAAACAAATGACATATATGTTATCTTCATATATCAATAATTAAGATAAATAAAAGGGAAACTCAATAGATTAATAAATGTTACCCATTCGCTGGTCCCAAGGACCGGACACATACGGGTAAACGAGCTTACGTCCTACCTGGTGTGAAGTGGATACCGGAGCCCATAGACTTCAGAACGTGAATGCTTTCAATGACCTACAGCCTTGAGGTCCATTGTCTCAATTTTTGTATAGTATTGACGCAAATAATATTATATTGCGGGCTGATATTAACCTAATTTTTGAGCATATGTCAATTTGTATTTCTTTAAAAGAATCGGTACATGCCTGAGCGATTTGAACATAGGAATCGTTGCCTCTTTCGATACTAGTATACCGAACGTTTTAGTGTTAGTGTTTAATGAAAATAATATGACGTCGACTTCTGAGATGTATTTGTTTCCATAGTCCAGGAGTGAAAGACTCTGCTGATATCGACGAGCAATAGTCAACTATAATGAGAAAATAGCCTTAATTACTGCAAAAATAAAAAGTTTTGTCCTTTTATATCTTGTTCCAACCAAAGTTTGTTTGGTTGTAATCGATGCTCATGTGAATGAGGAATCTCAAAAATCGCATCAATCTTCGACGTTGAAGTTTCAATTATATTATATGACAGGCCACCGTCCTCTTCAAACTGAAACGCAAGACTTACTTGGGAAAAAACAGAAATAGTGGTACATATTTGAAACTGTATATTTTTACGATTTTAAAATTAAAAGTGACTTAATTTTTGATGTTTGAAAATATATTAATTGAAATATTTCTACTTGCAGGTAAACATTGGATTACCGGAAAGTGCAGTGCGGCGCGATGTCCCCTGAACAAAAACTAAAGTTTTATTCCACGACTTCCGTGGTATGGTGAAATTCTTTTTTCAAAGTGATCGTGAACTTACACCCGGCAATGTCAAAGTAAAAGATACTTCTCCTGACAGTGAGGTTATCTGGTATTAAAAAATGTCAAAGTGGTAGTCGAGCGATGTCTGAGTGAGACTGGCGTGGTCATGACAAGAGCGTGGTCGTCAAAACAGTGCGCCGCCTGGGCCTGGCTCGCGGTCCTCGCAGCTTTGGGCCGCACCACAGCTTACACGGACACGGAGGAGTTCTTAAGCGACTTGGACAAACCAGGTAAGACTGATTGATAACTACACCCCTCAACAGTTCAAAGCTCAAAACTTGAGACTTATTTTATGACTATTTTGACTATAAAAACTCTACTAAACCAAATATTTGCATAGTGAAATTGATCGTGGTATTTTAAAAACTGTAAATAAATATTACCGTAAAATTTACGGCGTAAATAATTAACGAAATACCAAAATCGACCTAATGTTTAGTTAATATTTCCTATTTCGTCTTCAAATAAAGTATGGCTCACTACAGTCAGTTAATGCATCTTTGATTAGCTTGGGTGAATTAACTATTAAAAATAAAAAAAAAATGATCAGTGACCTAAAATGCCGCTACCATCCTACCACCCATGAATTCATAGCCCAAAGAAATAAAATATCTCGACACGACCTAAATGACGGAATGATTTCTTTTAAAAGCCAATTTGGTGCGATAGAAATAAGCAAGGCGAATCTATTTGTGAATTACCGAAAGTCTATGTGAGCCTTAATAAGTAGATATCCCTATTCCATCTAACTCTGTCGCAAATTAGTCATGCCTTCTATCGTAAATGGTAGGATAGCCATTGTACAATACAATTAGGATAACGACCTCGTGATTGGAGTTGGCTGTTGATATTTACATCGTCATGTCTAAAGGTAATCACTCGATAACAGGCGAGCCGTAAAATCGTCTGCTTACCAACCAATCACTTTCTAAGTCTCAGGAGAGGCTTTCATCTTTAATCACGTCGTATAGGTACCCTAATTTTCCAGGTAACTACGTAAAGCCTGCCCAAAGGTATTATAGTCGTACAGATTCACTGTAATTTTATTTAGAATGAGACTATCGAGAACCAATTTCACCTTAATATTTCAACGATCATCTAATATGGATATGGCGGCGGTCACAGACTATTATGAAAGCGATTAACTATACAAATAGGCTAAGGGAAAACAAGTTGAAGATACCGGTTTGTAAAAAGACGAAATTTTATAGTAACCAGTAGATAGATAGAGAGTTTATAGATTCAATGTGTGATAAAATTTCCGGTGACATTAAGATGAGTTTTAATTGCGTTTTAATTGCAATGTCAGTGTCGTTGCTACTGTCTAGATTCTATGCGTTTCTTACAGGCGATTCGATTTTATAACATAGATATTAGTTTTTTTTACAAAACTTTTCCTCATTTTATAACTAGATTGGACCATTAAACGCTTACCGTAGCTTTAGATTGTTATTGGCCCATATCTATCACATTATAACTTTGAGTCATGAGGTCGATGTCTCAAAGATATGAGACAGGGACTATAAAACCTGAACGCATAAAGTCGCAGTAAGTGGCTACAAGAAAACCTTAAAACCTTATTATTAAGCTGTTAATCAAATTTTACAATACACGTAAGCTGTTTTGAAGGGACTATCACAAAGCTGCATCGATCAATCATCGTTAGGTCATTGAATTTCGAAAGTGTGGATTAAGCACACTTGCATTAATTCAACTTTATTTTGATTTATAATTTCAAATGCTGCTTAAATTAGGAAGTTGTTACGGATTTAACGGGATAAACATTCATTGATCACTTAGAAGTTTTTATTATTTACCCCAGTTTTTTGGGTTTGGGGAACGTTATTTTTATATTAGTACCAATAAACTGCGATCGCTAACCCAATGGGTGTAATATGGGACGTAAAATGAGCCAATACAAGGTAGAAATATCCCTGTTAACTTCTGCCGCAGAACACATAAGCGTTAGTGTAAGGAGCCACAGACATTTTGCAATACTGTTTGACAGAGTACTGAGGCCTTAACCCCAAATTTTGTAGATAAAGCGATATCCATTTTGTTTTGTTTTATAATAAAAAAAAAGGTTGAAAATAAAAGGATTAACCTCATTCGAACCAATCATATTTCAATTAGAAAAATGTATTATAACAAAAAACAAATGCCATTAAATCATTAAGAACACGACCGCTGACAGCCCCACGAGGTTTTTAATGAGTTCTATTATAGACAAGAACATGGCAACACAGCGGGCGAGTCATTATAGTTGCCAGAAAACAAAAATATTAACCCTAAATGAACACATTGACAGTTTATTGATTTCAGTAAGTTCGTTTTTATACTATTTGTAATTATTTTTATTGTACACAGTGTAAGATTATCTGGATGTTGAAAACGGTAAGAATAAGTCCAAAACTATTATACTGTTTTCAAAACTTAATTAAAACAGATTCGTATATTTTCGCGATACACTCCATCCAAATAATATAATTTAAGGTTATCTGATTTGGCAGTAGATATTTCTATAGATGTTTCTTAAATATTGCAACTAAATACAATTGAGAGGTAAATAATAATAATAATAGTGTAATAATTACGTTATTATAGCATTAATATCAAGCTACTATCCTACTCCACGTAAATAATGTAATTTAAGGTCATCTGATTCAAACTGGACCAAGGTGGTCACGACCCTCAGTAATGAGGAAACGACAAAGAAGAAGAAGAAGAAAGTTGTTTCCGTTGATATTTCTTAAATATTGCAACTAAATACAATTTAAAGGTAAATCAAGTGTAATAATTACCCTGTTATAGCGCTAATATCAAGCTACTATCCCACGTCAAGGATGTTTTTGCCTTAAATAGCAACTGATTTTGCTGAAAGCGTGGGTAAGCTATTTTCATTGCGATAACATTGTGTGCAAAACTCTTTGAATTATTTTTGCTAATTAGGTAAGTTTACTTCCATTTTTGTACGTCAGAATATGGTTGACTTATTGCAAAACCCACGCTTATATGTAACGCCATACTACCGTCAATAGCCGCGAATAACCGTGAATTCCGCGTAATCCACACTCGAAGTCTTCGGAAAGCCATTATGTAATATGATTTTGTACCAAGCCGATGTGTGTCCACGTTTTACCCATCATACCAATCTGCCCACTGAATTTCTCGTCGGACCTTCTCAGTGAGTTGCATTTCCGATCCGATGGTAGATTCTGCGAAGCACTGCTGTAGTTGGGGCTAGTGTAAGCAACTTCCTCTGGTTAGAGCCCCGAGAGCTCACCTACTTGCTCGGTTACGCTGGCATAGCCTCTCAAGGCTACCAGCTTAGGTAGAAAAAAAAACAATTTAGTATCCGATTGATATCATATCATTGTGACGTAAGCCTAAAAGTTATGCCCAATGAAAATCGTAATCAATTTTGCTCAAATAAAGTCAGAGTTTGCAGTTATCAGATGGCGATCAGTCGTACTATATCTGACATAGGATACTATGCGTTGTACCTTGCTGCGCCGGTACCCACATACCAAGCTCATACATTTGAATGTCATTGTACATACTAACGTTATGAGGCTTTGTCACGAATAGTATGTTCTTGAATTCGCTGTTTCAATGTGGATGGTTCCGTATTATTTAGTTCAAGTTATTTTCTTGTAATTCTAGTATTCTTCGGCATTTTTTTTCCGAGTTTCAATGAAGTTTTAGCTAGTTTTTATAACATATCTTTTGTTTAATATAACTCATCAGTATTTTTCTTCGGTGAGACGTGGCTATTAATACAATTACTTTTGTAGCTAGTAGCTATTATGGAACACAAGATATTTGACAGACGCCTGAATATCGCTAAAGACATTTTCAAAACAAGCTTATATACAAGTTCCGAACAATAACATTTGGACTGTCTGTCTACCATGCAATCACACCCGCTTGGAGTAATATCTTTCCATCTTCCCTTTGTCATTAAGCCTCAAACCATTCATAGCTCTATCTCGCGTTTCCTATTTTAATTTTACTATCTTCAAACTTTCCGATACATACTTTACAGTTTGCTTAGTGACGATTGACTAAGGTGTAACGTTTGTCGGCATTTGAATACTGTGCTAGTTATCGTCATTTTTTTTATCAAAAACATAATTTAGATAGTAATAGGCAAAGTTTCATAAGTTTTTTTTGCTTCTTACTCTTCAATCAAGTATAAGACCTGTGTGTGATATGTGATCTATTTTTGAGAGCGTTACAGAAGAAGAAAAATTTGAGACCTTTGAAAAAGATCTTTGAAATTATACTTATTTTCGACTGGGTCTACAAATTTTAAATATAAAGTAAATTATATTAATAAATTTTAGCGCAAAAATATTCAAGAAAACCTACAATGTTGACCTTTAACATGGAAACAAACTTAATCACCATACTAAAAGCTTACTAAAAGCTCCTCAAAACGAAATTGAACCCCAGAAACCGTTCAACTTTGTTTCATTTCAACAGATAATAATACATCAAAAGCTTAACGTATGGTATGATTGTAATATGATTCTTAAAAAGCTTACAGTTGTAATTTACGTGAATACATCGGTTTTATAAGCAATAAAAACGATATTTTTCTGTCGTGAACTGATCAAGGTTTTTTGGGTCATGATTTTTGACGTTCCTGTCAGGTCTTATAAAATGCTGGAGTTTATTGAAAACGAGATATTAAGCTCACGGACAGATAGGTTCGATAAACGCGTGGGCAGAGCTTTATAGGTGTGAAGTGATTTACAGATGATTACTGATAGCAGGACGACTTATGAGCCCGCTCGGGTAGGTACCACCACCCTACCTATTTCTGATGTGAAGCAGTAATGCGTTTCGGTTTGAAGGTTGAAGCAGCCGTTGTACTGTAAAACGCTGATCTCAAACTGATGTCTCAAGATGAGTGGCAGCATTTACGTTGTTGATGTTTATGGGCTTCGATAACCACTTACCACTAGGTGGGCTGTGAAGCTCGTCCACCTATCTGTGGAATAAAAAAAGTTTAAGATAAGTTATTTTGAGAGTGTCGTTATGATGTTATACCTACTTAGAGGTCCATAATGTGTTGTCAGTTTCCACACTGGGTTCGGTCTTCCTTGACCTACATTTTCATTGAACACGATTATGAACCACTAGCTCGTTAGTGGCGTATTTTACTTATCTATATCTTCTTTCATATAAGATATACTCTATAGTTCCTTAGCGGATGTTATTTGGA